GCAGTGCGGAAGGCAGAGCTGGAGAAGTGGAGACAGCGCGCTGGCTCTGGAGAGGCCCTGAGCACTTGCCGCTTGGCAACCCTGCGCCCAGCCACCCGGGAGGGTGCCGTGCAGGAAGACGCGAATTACCCCAGAAAGGAAGACTCAGACAGCGACAAGTTACCACTGTCTTCTGTTGCGTCTTTCTAGATTAAAAGACAATGATAAGTGGATGGATAACAGAGTAGATAGTGATCAACTGATGATTGATGGGTAGATAGATGGTAGGTAGGTAGGCAGGCAGATAGATGATGGATAGGTAAAATAATATCACAGGGAAAGTATAAGGCAAAAAGCAAGTCAGGGGGAAAAAGTTGTAGCTTACACCCCAGAAAATGTGCTACACCCAAAAATCTAAGAAGTCAGCATTTTAAATGGGCAGGAGACAGGAAAGACAGTTCACAGAAAAAGAAATACAAGTGGCTTGGGCACACGAAAAGGTGTTCAAACTCATGTAAGAGAAAGGCAAACCTTTGAAAAACAGCAGCAGGGACTATTTCCTTGTCAGCTTAACAAGTCAAAAGCCTGACGGCACATTCCACTGGAAAAAACTATGGAGCAGGCACTCTATGTCGCTGCCTTTGGGAACGCAAGATGGAGCAACCAGCGGGGAATTTGACAGTATCTACCTACGTTCACACTGATCCAGTGAGACATATTCAGTCAATAACAGACTGCCTTCCAGGAGTTTATCCCAAAGAGACCCTGGAGACACCAGTTAGTGGCGTCTGCCATTTCCCTTCCCCGCGGCGCAGCTCAGAACACCAGCTCGGCGGGCGGAGAACGCCCCTTAGCGGGCGCCCGGTTCCGCGAGGCGGCGCCGTGCCCTGCGGAGCCCTGTGCAGCCCTGGAAAGGCAAGAGGAAGGTCGCCGCACACAGGGAGGGGTCTCCGGAGTGAACTGGAGGTGCACATGCAGGTGCAGACCAGCGTGTCTAATAAGCCACCTTGTGTGCGAGAGCGAGGAGTAAGAAACGCACACACAAGCTTTTTAAAAAGAAAGCAAACCCCAAACTTAGTGAGGCCTTTCCCCACGGGCAAAAGGACACAGGAGGGGTCAGGGGCGGAAGGCAGGTCTTGGGAGTGGAGCTTGCGCGGCTCTGGAGCTGGTTCTTAGACTCCAGGACCCCCCGTGAGGGGTGGTCCCTCGGGCGCGGCCTTGGCGTGCAGAAGCGGCCGGGCAGACCTGCGCCAGCCCGCAGGAGACACCTACTACGCACGCGGGCACTGGGGGGCTGACTGCTGACTGGCAGTCACTTTACAGGGAACGCAACCAGGGGCCCCGGCCTGAGGCCGAGGGGGGACCGAGGCCTCCGGGGGGGCTGCCCATCCTGTCCTCGGCAGCCAGCCCTGCCTTGCGGGTTGTGGCGGGGTGTCTGCTGCAGATGGGGAAGGATGAGCGGGGGACATGCCTGCTGGCGTCCCCGAAGAAGCCACGGTCGGGTGTTTACAGGTTTCCTCGGTGAGAGGGTCCCGCCCCGAATGAAGGCCTTGCAGTCAAGGTGTGGGTGTGTGCGGAGCACGGGGCTCCAGCTGCGGCAGAACCCCGAGTCCTGACATCCCGACAGGCCGCGGCGAGAAGCGGCAGAGGCCGTGCAGCTTCCCAGGGCCCAGCGCGTCCTGCCCAGCCCGGGAGCTGCGTCTGTGTCCCTGGTGTGCAGTTGCCAAGGACATCCTGGCAGTTGATACAACACCCGTGTCTGTTTCTAGGCTTCAGGGAAGGGGGTGTCGTACGGGCCGCCTCTAGAACCCCCCCACCCCAGGCCCAGCCCACCACAGGTCAGACAGTGACTCCAAAAATCTGGGGTGACAGAGGGGCATGTCTAAAGGACAGAGGGGCGTGTCTCCCATAACCCCCACCCAGGTGGCCCCGCAAAACCAAATGGGGGCCGTGGCAGAGGGGGTCACCCACCTCGTCCCAGGACCAGCTGTGCGTCTCCTCATTCCCCCCGCTGAGAAGTCAGCTTGTTGATCCGAGGTCTTTCTTCTTTCCTGCAAGGGTCAACGGCTGCCCTTGCCCGCCGGGCACCGCCCCGCCGTGCCCGGATCTGCAGGCTCGTTGTGTTTCTGTCCCCACTCATTCCAAACATGTTCTGGGGCCCCGCGTGGCATCCTCTGTCCTGTTGTCATTTCCCGTGTGCTGTTGCGTTTCCAAGGGTTTGACTTCGGCGTCCATCGTATCAGGGAAGACATTTTGTGTGACTCCCGTCTTTTTTCTTTCTTTTTTGCTAAGAGCTGGGGTGCAGACCAGAGGTGCGGGGGGGGGGGGTGAGAGGACTCACCAGAGACAGAGCGGGTTGCAGAACAGGCAGACCAGCTGAAACACACTGCTGAGGGGAGCAGCGGGGAGACAGGAGAGGTCTGCCGCGCCCTATGGGCAGCTTCGCGCCCGGGGATCGAACTCAGGCCGCAGGGGTGATAAAGCTGAGACTCACCCAGGCCACCAGGGAAACCTGGTCTTTTTTTTCATTTTATTCTGATTGGTTCTGTGGTCTGATCTGAAGCATGACCCAGGTGCACTTGACAAAAATGTGTGTGCCCTGTGTGTCCTGTTGACAGCTCTGTGTGTGCCTGAGAGGACATGCAAGGAAGCCCCGAATCACAGCTGATGTTAAGCAAATGCAAATGCAAACCACAACTCCAGGCCACTTCACACCCACAGGGTGGTTGTAATCAGGAAAACAAAACAAAACCAGAAAATAACAAGTGTGGAGAGCGCAGGAGGAAATTGCAATCCTTGAACACGGCTTGTGTAAAAGGGCACAGCTACTGCGGAAAACAGTGGCATTTCCTCAAGGGTTAAACATAGAGCCAGCACATAACACAGCAATCCGGCTCCCGAGCGTCTACTCAAGGGAAGTAGGAAGAGGTGCTTGAGCAAATACTGGTGCAAAAACATCATCCAGGTAGCCAAGTGGCGTACGTCCACCGACTGAGGAATGAATAAATAAAAAGTGGTCCGTGTAGATGATGGAATATTACTCAAGTCATAAGAAGGAAGGAAGCCCTCATACATGCGACAGTGTCTGTGAACCTGGAAGATATCAGGTCAGGTGAAAGTCACACACAAAGGCCTCATGTTGTGAGACTCCCTTTATGTGAAACGTGCAGAACAGGAAAATCTAGAGAGACAGGAAGTAGAGCAGTGATTGACAGGGCCGGGGAGGGACTACTCAATAACACGGGATTTCTTTTATTTTTTTTAAAGATTTATTTATTTATGCATACAAGAACTGGGGTACAGACCAGAGGTGTGGGGGGTGAGAGGATTCACCAAAGACAGAGCGGGGAGCAGAACAGGCAGACTAACTGAAATCCACTGCTGAGGGGAGCAGCGGGCGAGTCAGGAGAGGTCTGCTGCACCATGTGGGTTGCTCCCTGGCTGGGAGTCGAACTCATGCTGCAATGGCTGGTGATAGCTTCATAGGTTGCGTCTTAACCCCTTGCGCCACCAGGGAGGCCCAACACAGGATTTCTGTTGGAGAAATGAGAACATTCCAGAACTAGGCGGTGGTTGTGGTTGTACGACATTGTGACTATATTAGAAGCCACTTTATATTGCACAATTTAAAATGGATAAAAAGATATAATGTGCTGTCACAATTAAAAAAAACACCCGTAAGGGTCTGTGCAAGTCCACTTCAACAGTCCCCCGCAGCAGTGCTCACCAGTGCGCTCATCAGTCCCCCGCAGCAGTGCTGGATGGTGTCCGCGTGGTAAAACCTGTCAGATGTTACTGGTGGGACATTTCTGTATTAATCAGAGAAACTGGGTAATAAGATCAAGTCCTTTCAAATGCGTTTGGAAACCTGAAAGCCTTGACCTCTGTGCTCCGCTTGTTCGCAGCTCGCTCTTCAGTTGCCAGGGCTCCTTCCTTCTCCCGCCGGCTGCTCATCTACTGTGCAAATGGCAAATATTTCCCGGCAGTTCAATATCTTCAATTTGCAGCCAAAAGGGTTCCCTTGGGATTTGACTGACATGACTGACTGGGGGAGCAGAGGACCCGGGCCCCGGCCCTGCCCGCCTGCAGCCGTGCTTCCAGTGGCCACGCGTGGTGTACGTCCTCTGGTCCACCTTTACCTTCTTGTTCACGCCCTACCTCTCCACGCTCCTCCTGGGCTCTTCTCAGGTGCCGCTGCCTTTCCCCAGATCTCACCCTGCGCCACGGACAGGGAGAAGCACCACGGGCATGTGGTCAGCTCTCGCGCCAGCAGGCACGGGCAGGCTCACTGTTGCTTCGGGCAGATGGAGAAAGGAGAGTCCCAGAGCCCTCGGTGGATTTTTCAGCCTTTAATGATCTCAGGGACCCAGGCAGGGAGGCGATACGGACGGGGGGAGGCTGGAAGGCGGGCAGGCAGTTGAGCCCCTCAGCCCCCCACAACTCTCTGCGCTTTTTCTCTGGCCTCTCTGACATTCTCTCACATCATCTCACGGCCTTGCCTCTTCTGTGTCCCACAGCGCATCCTCTGCTTGTTCCCCACCTCTAGGCTCAGGCGTGCACACTTACACACACCCACGCTCCAAGTGTGCACACTCACAGGCCCACATTCCCACCCACGCCCCCACGCGCCTCTGCATGAGCACCATCAAGGCCACAGGCGACAGCCGCAGAGGCCCGTGGCGCAAAAAGCCTGAGAAATTCATCTACCCGACGACCTCCCACCAGTCTCTCCGCAGAGCTTTGCCTCCTATTTCCCACTCAGGTTTCCTGGAGCCAGATAAAGAACAGATGGGGAGCAGCCCTGTGACAGCCACACACTTAACGAGCACGGCCGGCCGGGAGAAAACACAGCACTAATGAGGGCCTCCGCATAGCTCCGCACCAACAAGGAAGGGGTGCACGTGAGCCTCGACGGGGCAACACAAACACCAGGAGGGGTATAAAAGGCGACAGCCCCGAGCACTGCACACACCCACACCCACACACACACAAACGCACCCTCCCTCCTCCAGCTGCACGCCATGGCCGCCTCCACCCTGTCCGTCTGCTCCAGCGACCTGAGCTACGGCAGCCGGGTCTGCCTGCCCGAGTCCTCCTGGCAGGGGGACGACTACCCCGAGAGCTGCTGCGAGCCCCCCTGCTGCGAGCCCCCCTGCTGCGAGCCCCCCTGCTGCACCCCCAGCTGCTGCGCCCCCGCCTCCTGCCAGACCCTGATGTGCGCCCCGGTGAGCTGCGGGTCCAGCTCCTGCGAGCCCTCGTGCTGCAGCTGCTCCCCCTGCCAGCAGGCCTGCTGCATGCCCGTGTGCTGCAAGCCCATGTGCTGCACACCTGTCTCGTGCACACCTGCCTGCTGCAAGCCTGTGTGCTGCACGCCCATGTGCTGCACGCCTGTCTCGTGCACACCTGCCTGCTGCAAGCCTGTGTGCTGCACACCCATGTGCTGCACGCCCGTCTGCTGCAAGCCTGTGTGCTGCACACCCATGTGCTGCACGCCTGTCTCGTGCACACCTGCCTGCTGCACGCCCATGTGTTGCACGCCCGTCTGCTGCAAGCCCGCGTGCTGTGTGCCTGTCTGCTCGGGGTCCTCCCCCTGCTCGGCCTCCTCCTGCTGCCAGCCCAGCCCCTGCCCCCCGCCCTGCTGCAAACCCTCCTCCTGCGTGTCCCTCATCTGCAGCCCCGTGTGCAAACCCGCCTGCTGTGCCCCCGCCCCCTCCTGCCAGCCCAGCTGCTGCCGCGGGGCCTCCTCCGTGTCCCTGCTCTGCCAGCCCGCGTGCCCCCGCTCCACCTGCTGCTGAGCCTCTCTCCTGCCTGGAGGGCTGCTGTCTGCCCCCAGCACAGCTCTCCCTGTGGGACCCCAGCCCCTCTGCTGGCGCCAGGACCTCCCCTTTCCACTAGGGGACACTCAGCTGCTGCTCAAGGGGATTCGAACCCTTTCCGAGACAAGAGGCCCACAGATCCCTCAGGATGGGGGACCGACGGCGTGACGGGGCCTACTCCGCAGGGCAGCTGCTGGCATCTGATGTGACAACGGTCAGTTGCTATAATCAATAAATGGTGTGTCAGACAACATGGCAGTGTATTTCTTCCTCCTCCCTGAGCCCCCCAAGGTTCCTGTGGGGGGGTCTTCAGCTGGTGGGAGCCAGACATTACAGACGCCCTCTCAGACTTGAGTTCGGAACGGCTGAGAGACGGCACGATCTGGACGTGGGTGCTGTCTGCCTGCTCCCCCTTCCCCGCCACACCCAGACCCCGACCCCCAGCGCCCCCCCAGTAGAGCCCTCGCAGGCTGGCACAGGAGGCAGTGTGGGGTCAGAGGCTTGGGCCCCCCATGGGCCCTCGGGCCCCTGCCCATGCCGGATCGGGTGAACTGGGGGGGGGGACAGCAGAGACCCTGGTTGGTGGGGACTGGGGAGTCCGGTCCAGACCGAGCTGACTCCCCTGGACAGAGGCGCCCACACGGAGAAGGAGCGCCTGGTGCTGGGGGGTGGGACCACAGCTGAGTGGACAAGTCTGCGCTGGCCCCACCAGCCCCTGGGGTCCCGCGGGGCCCCCGGGTCCCTCCAGACACGGCTCCTGCTTGAGATTTCTAAGCCAGTGGAGGCGGCACAGAGCAAGGACCCGCGAACACACCCTCGGGCGGGGCGGGCGAGCTGCCGTCTCAGGACCGCTGGCACCGGGGGCCGTGGGCCCGTCAGAGCCACCAGGGCAGCACCAGGCGCCCGCTTCCCCTCGGGCCAGAGACGGGCCCATCGGGCCCACGAACCAGGGCCTGGCAGACAGGACCAGGAGCAGGGGACGGCTCGGGGGCCACCCCACCCAGCTTATCTCTGCCTCCAGGGAGAGGACAGAGCAGCACCCCTGGGGGGCCTTTAGACAGAAAGTGACCGCGGCGTCCACCTGCCTGGCTCCCGACCCCTCGGCTTCCCGAGTTGGCCCAAACCCTGCCCCATCGCGCACCTTCAGACTTAAGGGAAAGTGGACCAAGGCCTGACGGCCACTCCCAGCGCAGAGCGGACAAAGACTCGGAAGAAGCGCCAGCTCCCCACCCAGAGCCACGAGTGCAGGGATGCAGACGGGGTGCAGCGCGCAGAGACCCCAAGGCCTGAGGGATGGCGCCTAGGGCAGGACAACCCTCCTGCCCAGAAAGCCGCCCCCCCCCCAGGCAGTGGGTGCCCCAGGGACAGCAGGTGCCACAGCAGCGGCGCTCACGCCGGGTCCAAGTTCACGTGGGGTCCGAACTCACGTGGAGTCCGAGCTCACGCCGGGTCTGAGCTCACGCTGGGTCCTGAGCTCATGCTGGGTCCGAGCTCACACAGGGTCCGAGCTCATGCAGGGTCCGAGCTCACGCAGGGTCCGAGCTCACATGTGGTCCTGAGCTCACACTGGGTCTGAGCTCACGTGGGATCCTGAGCTCATGCTGGGTCCGAGCTCACATGGGGTCCAAGCTCACTCGGGGTCCGAGCTCACACGGGGTCCTGAGCTCACACTGGGTCCGAGCTCACACGAGGTTCCGAGCTCACGCTGGGTACAAGCTCACGCAGGGGGTCCCGAGCTCACGCGGGGTCTGAGCTAACACAGGGTCCTGAGCTCACGCTGGGTCCGAGCTCATGCGGCGTCTGAGCTCATGCGGCGTCTGAGCTCATGCAGGGTCCGAGCTCACGTGGGGTCCCCACCTCACACGGGTTCCGAGCTCATGCGGGGTCCAAGCTCACACGGGGCCCGAGCTCACGTGGGGTCCCAAGCTCACTCGGGGTCCGAGCTCATGCAGGATCTGAGCTCACTCAGGGTGCCCATCTCACGTGGGGTCCCCAGCTCACACCCCAGGAATTGGAGCTCATGGAGGAGGGTCCGAGCTCACACCCCAGGAATTGGAGCTCATGGAGGAGGGTCTGAGCTCACACCCCAGGAATTGGAGCTCATGGAGGAGGGTCCGAGCTCACACCCCGGGATTCTGAGCTCATGGGGGGGGCCCGAGACCACATGGGGTCCAAGCCCACGCGGCCTTCACACTCAGCCGCAGCAGGATGGGGAGGCGAGAGCAGCTGAGAGGACGGCCGGTGCTCCTGGAGGCTTGTTTATAAATGTCCGCAGTGAGTGAAGGTTCTGGAAGCTCTCCAGACCTCCCTCTGCGGAGCGAACAGACTCTCCTTGGCTTCCACGGCTGCGGACCAGCCGCAAAGGCCGGCAGCTGAGAATGGAGACCCCCAACCCCGCCCACACCCCCATCCCCAGACTCTCGGGACCCGCCTCTCTCAAGTCGCCCATCTGGGGACTCAGGGAGCCCGGTGCAGCCCCGGAAACTCCTCCTTTGCCCGAGCCAGGGAGGCGGGAGGCCAAGGGGCGCCTGCACCAGGGTCGGGGTCGGGCTGGGCTGGGGGTCGGGAGGGAGTCCCTCCAGGCAGCAGGGCCAGTCCCCCTCACTGGGGTGGGGGGCTGCTCTCCTCAGCTGGGGAGGGGCGCCAGGAGTGGGCCGAGTCCCCCAAGGCCCCCCCCATGCCGCCAGGGCTCGCAGCCTCGAAGTTCTCGTGGGGTCTGTGCTGAGGCCCCAGGGGGCGTGCTGGGGGTGCTGCTGCAGGTGCCCAGGGATGGGCCTCGGGGGGACCAGTGGCCGCAGGTGCGGAGCCAGGCAGGACACGCCTCTGCCGGGCAGGGAAGGGGAGTCCCGGCCCTCTCCGGGCGGGCGGGGCAGAGGCGCACAGGAAGCACCCCGAAGGGGAGCCCAGAGACCAGGAAGAGCCCCCAAGGGGAGGGGCCCAGAGACCCTAGGCCTCGCCTCCCTCCCCGCGTCTCCCCTCCTCCCGCTGCCACGGCTGGCGGGACCCGGGCCTGGAGAAGCGGGGTCCGAGCTGGGGCGCCGTCACGCTGGCCCCGAGTCTCCCCCACTCCGGAGGCCCCGCCCCTGGGCTCTCCCCGGCCAGGCCCGGGCGGCCTCTGGCTTCTCCCGAAGGGCTCCTCTGCCGGCCAAGCCCCTCTGGCCCGCTAGTCCGGGGATGGCCCGGACCACCCGAGCCCTTCCGCGGCCGGGCACTTGGCCTGTGAGGGGCGTGGCCGCAGGTTGGGGGCCGGTGAGGCCATCAGGGAGGCACAGAAGTCATGCCCCGGGGGCCCCACCTGCGGAGCCCCAGCCGCCCCAGGGGAGCCCACTGGGGTCCTGGGAGGACACTCACACCCAGGACACCCACAGGCCACCCCCAGGGCACCTTCTCCCCGGGGGCCAGGTCAGAAAGGAGGATCTGCGCCCGCCCAGAGCAGGGTCAGTTCTGACCCCACGGCCATGGCTGAGCCTCCCAGTGGCGGTCACCCCAGGCCACCGGCACCTGCGCCTCTCGGCAGAAAAGGGAGTTTCCGGACCCTCGGAGCCTCCCGGGTGGGTGCGGTCCAGGGGCCGGCGTGGAGTGGGGACAGGGCACATGGTGGGCCTGGCTGTGGCGGTTTACTGGGCCTTGGGGGCCGGGGCTGCAGGGCCTGGACACGGGCCTGGCCGTGTGGACCCATGTGGATGCCCGGGCTCGGGGCCGGGGGCTGTGGGTTGGGATGGAGCCGCCTCACGGCAGGGTTCCAGCCAGGACCCGAGGGCCAAATGGGCCACCCGGGCTGCTTCGTGGGGTCCCAGTTGCTGCTTTGGACCCCGCACGCCCAGGCCGGGCCACAGGGCCCCGGGCTTAGCAGCAGGCAGGGGCCCCGCAGGGACCGGCCTGCAGACCAAGTGGGGCTGGAGGACGGGCAGGAAGGGGCCAGGCACCCGAGGGCCGGCAGCTCACGGGCACACAGGAGATGGGCGCTCGGCCGGCGGCTGGCAGCAGAGGGGCGGCTGGTGTGGCACGGGCGATGGGGGCCGCGGGTCAGCGCAGAGGACGGCTGGCCTGTGGCTCCTTCCCCGGCCGCCTTTCATTCACGGCTTCCTCCTCCCGGCGCCAGCCGCTCGGGCTGCCCGCGGAAGCGCGGGGTTTCCTCGTCCCTGAGTCTGGGGAAGTGACTCAGGCAGCCGTTGCTTCTGGGCCGGAGGCTCCTGTGACTCAGCAGCTGTGGGGTTCCTGCCTCGCGGCCCCGTCGGACGGGGCACGGCCGTCGTGGGGGACGGGGCCACATCACGACGCCGAGGTCCTCCCACAACGAACGCCCAGTGCTCTGTCCACACGACACCGCCTGGCTCGCCGCCCCGGGGCCTGTCGTGATCTGAGGCCTCGGAGACCCGGGCGCCAGGCTATGGCCCCCCCGGGCAGAGCGACCTCATCCCGGTGGCCACAAGTCCCGAGCGCAGGCCCCGCGCTGGAGTCTCACCCCAGGACGGTCTCTGCGCGCGAGGGGTTGGGCCGCAGAGTCCAGACGTGCAGGCGGGAGCATAGCTGACCCGCCTGCACCTGCGCCCGCCCTGGGGACGGAGTTGGGCCTTTGCTGCGCTGGCCTCACCCTGGAGGCCATGGTCTTGACCGCTGTGCCAACCCATGGGCCCCGGGGACTTCTGAGCCTCTCAGATCTGTACCATGGGGTTTTAAGGAATAGATCAAACTTGAGGATTTTGTCCATTATTTCTCCAGAACATTCCTTTGCTTCGAGTCATTCTCTCCCCATCCTGGAGGGCAGGGACTTCCATGCCAGACCCTTCCAAAATGTCTCAGCGGTCCTTTTCATTTTTAAAATTCTTTATCCCTCCTTGCAGGTTGGGTCATTTCTCTGGCCTTCTTCAAGGCCGCCTCCTCTCAGCCCGGGACGTGATGCAGGAGCTCGGATGGGGGGGTCGGCCTCTGTCCCCCTGCACCTGCCCCCGGCCATAGGGTCCCCACGACTCTTGCTT